CAGCTTTGCCACTTGTTTGCTGTGTGACCCTGGCTGGTCTCTTCACCTCTCTGGATCTCAGGGTTCTCAGCTATGAAGTGGGAGCATTGGGTGAAAATACTTCTAAAATCCCTCCCACCTCTAACATGCTGTGATTCCATGATGTGATGCTCTGGTCCAGGGTTTCTCCACCTTGGCACTAGTGACTTCTTGGGCCAGACAGTTCTTTGTTGGGGGGCTGTCCTGTGCATTGTAGGATGGTTAATGTCATACCTGGCCTCTACCAACTAGATGCCAAAAGCACTCCCTGCCCCAGTTGTCACAATCAAAAATGTCTACACACATTGTCAAGTGGGCAAAGTAATCCCTCCGTTCACTGCCCAAGGACTTCAATAAGGTCAAGACCATGTGGTTCAGTGGAGAAAGGTCTTCCTGCCCCCGCCTCTTCCCCAACCCCTGCACACTTTTCCACACACTTTTCAAACACAACCTCCTAGTTCTTTGCTACTTCTCATTTCTTAAATGCCCTCCGTGGTCCAGCGTGTGTTTGGTGTGATAATGAACCAATTGATTTCATACTTTCTCTTAAAGAGAGTTCACAGGTTTATGTCCCCTAAGCAACCAGCCAGGCTCCCCAGAAATCCCTCGCAGAACCCTGGATGGCCTGGAAGCCTGTATCTGCAGCCCGCAGGAGGCTCGGTGAGCATGGATTTGTCAGCACTCTTAAATCACTGGGCTCTGAGGAAGCCTTCTCCCAGCACAAAGATCCTTCCTTAGGAATCAATAGCTCAAGGCCTTCTATCACACTCAGAATTATCCTGGGACCTGTAAAATTTCTTTTCCCCAAGCACGGCAGAACCCCGAAATGAAAACCCCAACACGGGGGAGGGAAGAGGGCAAGGAGGGAGTCCTGCCAAGGAGGCCTTGTCCGCAGCCCAGATGTTGCTGCGAGCAGAGGCTGATGTGCGAACCTGGACACTCGGTCTCATTCGCCGGGAAAAGGAAGACCCAGTGTGGTTCCCAGGGATCCTGCAATAATATCCTCTCCCAGCTGAATACCTCTTTACATCTCACCAAGGGTAGAGGCATGTTAAAGACTATCTTCCTTGATTTTCACTATCCTACACTCATCACAGGTTGCCAGCCTCATCATTTTGCAGAGGAGGAAACTGAGGCATGCAGAGGTTAAGCGGTTTGTCCAAGGCGCCTGAGCAGGAAGTGAGGAGCCGGATTCTAAGCCTGAATCATTTCCACTACTGAGCTGCCTTCCCAGCGAGAGTAAGATTAAGGGTCAACCATCTGGTGGGGTTCATGAAAGAGGCGACTTCTTGTTTCCTCAGTGTCTAATGCCACTCCCCCATTCAAACAAAAATACAGAGGTACTGTGCTATAGCTGTATTTTATGTAAGTATATTCCTCTGGGCTTATCCAGAACCAAACCATGCCTTGGGAATGCTGGCACAACTCTTCAGCTAGAGCTGGAATCAGGCGCAGATCCCAAGCACAGCCTCTCAGAAACCCTGCTTTCAAGGAGGGGGCCGTGGCTCTCCGGTGTTCCACATTATCCTACCACCTCCCTCCTCTACCTGAAGAAAAAGACCCAACTTGTCTGTGAGCCTGAAGGAGATGAGGAAACTCAAGCACCTTCCCTGGCAACAAGCATCCCTCAGGTGAGCCTTAGGGACAGAAGAGGATCCGCCTCTTGGAATTTTGGCTCTGCAGCACTGGTCCCTCCTGAGGGTTGCTGGCAAGTCTGCAGAGGCTCGGTTGGGGGGGGGGGGGCTCTATGCAGAGTGCAAAGGAGCAGGGTGGGGAGAGGACACAGAGGGGGCAGCCCACAGGCCACTCAGCAAACCTCCTTCCCAGGGCCTGGCTCAGATGTCAACAGCCAGCCTCACAGAAAAGAAAACGGGCAATGGAAATGGTAGTATCTTCCAGGTCACCCAAGAAGCCCTAATGTGAGGATTTTGCAAAAATAGAACATCCTAGAACTCTGACCTTGAGCTGGGAGCAGCAAGGATGGGGAAATGGGCAAATACTGATTGGAAACTCTCCACTTCAGCCAGGATCTGAGTACTGGAGGCCCCATAGGCAGTGGTGTGACTACAGGTCAGAGAGACCTCACTCTAGCATGCCTGAACAGAAGGAAGGAAGAGCTCCAGGCTTGGGTTCCAAGACCACCACAAGGGGCTGGGCATTTCTGATTCCTACGTGCGTGGACAGAAACCAGGAGTCGCATTGCTTTTGCCTACAAGACCACTTGAAATAACAAGACAAGATAATGGAGGAAGGGGAAAGAATAATTAGGAATTTCTGTTACCTGTATATGTACATTATGAGAACTTTATCTGCTCCTTACCTCCTCAGTCTGAATAACAGATTCAAAGGAAATTTCCCCCAGTTTACTAGATTTATTAATTTACAGATGTCTGATCAGTCAGCAATTATGAACACTAACTGTGTAGAGAACACACGTCCATCTCCATAGTAAAGAGGAAGCAGGTCATGGGAGCGGAAAGAGCTCTAAGTAGAGGACTGGAAATCCTAGGACCCAGTCCTATCCTTCCACCAAATAGCCATGTGACCTTGGGCAAGATACTTGCCTTAACTGGGTTTCAGTTTTCTCATCTGTAAATTAAGTGTGCATGTGGGACGGCATTGGAGTAGGTGCTCTTCAAGGTTCCTTTCTTCTAGCTCTAATATTCTTGGGCTCTATGAGTCATAAACAAGTTCAAAGAACACACCAGCACCAAACACAAAGGATGATCTCAGAGAGCAGGTGGGGCTAGGTACCAGCTCTATTTCCTTGGAATGCTGTACTTGTATCTGTCTCATTGCACCTGAGACCACAGACCACCTTTAGTCCAGGAAGTACGTGGTAGAAGGGTTCCAATCATGAAGGTGATGGTTAAAGGCTATAGCCTGAACCTGCTTAAAGCATTAAGTTACTATGACCAATGAAGGGCAAGAAGTGAAAAGTCAGTGGTCCTGAGCTGGGTGCCTTTGGCGCCCCCTACTGGGCACCAAAGAGCCTGCTGGGCAGCTTCCATTGCCTCAGCAGGCAGCAAGCAAGACTGAGAACAGGACTGTCACAGCTGTTTAATAGGACTACCTTCCCGGTCTGTAGTCCGCTCTCTATAAGAGTATGTTTCACTCTCCAGAATTACACAGACCATTGGTCCACACATTCAGAGGGCACTACGGTGGTGCTATAGGATGTCTTAACCAAACATCAAGGTGCAGAGTAATAAACCTCAGGGTTCAGAACACCAGGTGCAGCCCAGATGGAGAGGAGAGAAGAAAGCAACCAGCAGGTATTTCGCTGTACAAATCCCCAGTGGAGAGAAGGTCTTGGGAAATGCAGCAGAAAAATGTTGACTGCAGGTAGAGGATGGAGCTGGGTTTGGGGGTATGAATTGAGAGCCCCACTAAAAGATCTACAGGCTGATGCAGCTGCCCTAGGAGTTCAAAACACTCATTCATGTTCAGGGATGAGGTACAGGATACAGTCCCAACTAAGCAGCCCACTTTTGACCTTCTCCAGAGACCATTAGTACCAACTGTAAACCAGGATATTCTAACTGTGGTCCACTGAGCCAGCATCAAGACCTTAAACTCCCTTCATTGTCCCTTAAATGGACTTTAGGACCTGCTGCCAGAAACATGTTCTTAATCAAGTCAGACTGAGAGAAAAAGCTTCCTCAAAGGCCATATTGGAAGAACCGCCATATTCCCACTTTCCATTCTCCATCTCCCCTTCCTCATGGCTGAGAATGAGGTACAGGGTGACTCTGAATTCGCTCTAATTCAGTCTTGGGTAGCTGCAGCCCCAAGTCATCAGGGTCAAAAAATCTCCCACCAACAGCGTTTCTCTTCCCACAAGAGTTCTCCCCTGATTCAAGCAGCACTACAGAGTTGAACCCTATCCCTGGAACCTTCTTGCCTTCTTTTCCACCTGGCTTCACTTGGGAAGTCCTGCACCCATCCCAGAAGACACCTCAAGTGTGACTCAAGAATATGTCTTGCCTGGAGAGCTGAAGCACCTCCTGGGACACACAGAAGCCACACTAGGTGCACACCTTACCACCACCAGCGTCAATATTCATTAGTCATTCCCCGAGGAAGGAAAGTGACCCCCCTCCCCAACCCCAGAAACACTTCCCGGCCACTCTGGGAGGCTCCTATCCAGGCTGGGATGACTCTGGTTTCTTGAGTTGGTTTCTGCAGAAACAGGACTAACCAGGACTCCCAACTACTGTAGTGCGAAGAAGCGCGCTGCATTGCTGGGTATGCCCCCGAGCTCGGCCCGCTGCCCCATCAAAGCCGCCATGTGTCCCCACTGGGCTGAGGAGGATCCCTGGTCCCCCTGGAATGCCTGAAGCTGGCTTGCCTGAGATAGGCTGAAAGCAAGCGGACCACACCTCGGTCCAGCAAAGGCAGCCGGCAGCTACGCCGCGCGCTGGGCTGGCTCCCCGAGCTCTCTGCCACCCAGCGCTGTGCCCGGGAGCTCGGCTTTCCCGGGGAAGAAGAGCTAGCTTCCCCTAGGGCTCCTCCCCATCTTGGAAGCCTAGGCACCCGGCCGAGGCCAGTAGCTTCCCAGGCCCGGAGCTGAGCCTGGTTCGCTGGGTGACTCCCCACTACGCCAGGCACATCCCTCCTCACCTGCTCCGCCCCCTCCCAGCCCCGGTGCCCTCTCCCCAAACAGCTGACCTCCAGGACGCCCCAGACACCTTCTCTGCAGCTATGAGGGTTATCGCCCCCGCACCTCCGCTCCCACCTCTCCTCCACCTCCGGCCCCGCACCCGCCTCTACCCCAGCCCGCGGGAGGTTCTGCGCGCCAGTCGAGTCCTGCGCCTCTTGGCAAGTTGGAAGCCAAGCCGCCGCCGCCTTAGCGGTCTCCGTCTTCCCCGATTCCCGGGCGGCACCCCCGCCAGCCCGGCGGGCGGATCAGGGTGGGGCGCAAAGGGCGGGAGAAACTTTCTCTGCCTGAGTGGGTGAGGGGCACCGGAGCGGGTACTCACGCCGGCGTCTGCGCTCGGAGCCATCCTCGGGCTCTCTCAGCCCCACCGCCTGGGGGCGTCGGAGAGCGGGAGCTCGCTGCCGCCTCTGCCGCCGCCGCCGCTGCCTTCCAGCTCCCAGCCCCGCTCCCGGGCTGGCCTGGAGCCTCCCGCCCCGACGCCGCTCGCTCGCTCGCTTTATACAACTCCACTCGAGCGCGCCCGGGCTTATGTAAAGGCTGGCGGAGACCCGCAGCCAATGGCGCCGCAGCTGGAGCTGAGGGCCCGGGGATGGGGGGCGCCCGCGTGGCCAATCGCGGCCCGGGGAGCCCGGGGAGCCGGGTGGGGGGAGGGGCGCCTCCCCTCGCTGATTTAGAGCCGGGATTGCGGCGGCAGCCGCCGGCAGCCCGGCCGGCCGGGCGCGACGCGTCGGGCGCTGGGGTGGGCGGCGGCGAGGGTGGGTTCCCCCCTGCGCCCCGCCGCTGCGTCGCGTAACCTTCAGGAGGCAGCGGGACCTGGCGAGGGGGGCGAGGGCGTCTGGCTGGGCGCTGGGGGCCGGGGGCTGGCGGGAAGCAGGGGTCCCCCGGGAGGAAGCGCCGGGAAGGAAGGCGGGGGGGGAGGAGGGGCGGCGAGCCCCAGGGCCCCGCGGTCACCCCTGCGCGCAGGGCCGAGAGTGGCGGCTGGGACAGCGGCGTGCCTTCCCCTTTCCCCTGATAGCGATCTGGCGTCGCCGGGCCGGGCCGGGCCGGAGCGGCCGCGCGAGCCGCGGTGATGGCGAGATTTCGCGCTGCGGAGCGAGCGCTGAGCCGATCTTTATCCGGTCAGGGGACGTGTCCGAGTGCCTTCCGGGGACTGCTCAGTATGGAGAGCGGAGCTTCGCTACGGCCCCAAAGGGCGGGGAGCGGGCGAGCACAGCTCGGAGATGAGGCGCGGCGACGGAGGCGGTCGCGGGCAGCGTCTCTCCCTCCCGCCCGGTCCCCCGCCCGCCCGCCCGCCGGCCTTGCGGGCGGTGCCCCCACCCCACCCTACCCCTCCTAGCCCCTGCCCAGACAGGGCCGAGGCTGAGCCCGGCCCACCCACTCTGGTCCGGTGCGTCCATCCAGCCTCCCTCACCGCTTTGCTCACAGGTACTGCTTACCCCCCTCCTCGAACCCCAGCCCCCTGCCGTGGGCGGGACGGTCTCAGCCTCTCAGGGCAGGGTGCAGCGGGGGGCTAAGCTTGGGAAGAAAGCCCTTGGTCAGCAGTGCCCAAAGTGCCCGTGTGCGGGGCAGGAAACTGGCCTAGGTCGATAACACTCTCAAGTCAGGTCCCTTATTTTGCGCCTAGAATAGGGCCTGGCACGTAGTAGGCTCTCAGTAAGGATTTACTGAATGAACCTTGAACTGAATAAGGACTTGGGCTTTCTGAGAGCTGGGGTACTGGGCTTGGGAAGAGAAAGACCTGGGAATAAGCCATCAGAGAGGGAGGGAGCTAGGACTGTTTTCTCATCTATTGATGCCTTTATGACCACCACCCTGCCGTCTGGGCACTTGACTCCAAATGTGCTCTTTCGTGGAAGACGCCGACAGCCAGCCCCTGACCCCAGACCCGGTTATCCCCAGATTTTGAGCAGAACTACCAGAGCCTACTCTGGGCCCTGATTTCAGGTGGCTGTGATCGTCCTCTGGAAAGACATAGCTAAGGACAAGCAATCTTTCTCGCTTTGGGGGTCCTGGATCTAGCTCAGGTTTTAACCTTTTGAGGGTGATGAAACCTTTTGACTGTTTTCAATCTGATGAAAACCATTGAATCCTTTCTCTAGAAAAATATACACATACACATTTACAGGCATACACACACACCTTGAGTATAATTTCAGGATCATTAGGGACCCTGAGTCTCTCTTGGGGCTCTGCCCAAAGTCAAGCTCCTGTTTCTCTAGGGGTCTAGGACAGTGGTTTATAATCATCCTCCTTTTGGGGAATCACAGAACTCTTTTGAGCCTTTCAAGAATCTGATTAATGGTATGAGTCTGTGTCTCAGGAAACTGCTCAATCACATACACACGTGTTGACATGCAATTTTAGGGAGTTCGTGGATCCTCAAAACCAGATTCAGAAGCTTCAGCAAAGAGCAAATAGACTTTGCCCCATGGGTACACCTGATCCCCAGCTCTCTCCACAAGGAGTCCGGTGAGCTCTGCACCATGCTGCCTCATACCACCACCATATTCTGAGGGCATCTGAGTCATGAGGTGATGGCCCCGGCACCTGAGAGACCATCTCCACACTTGTCTTTGCATCTCGGTCCCCGCCACCCTCTTAGTGTAGAAATAAGTTGCAGGTTGTCATGTTCTGTCTGATCTATGAGCATTCCTTAGCCAGAAACTCCAACTCTGGGAGACAGCAAGTGAATGGTAATTAACCAGGTTCACTCAATCCCAAGCTTCTGTGCACACCTTTCTTGGTTTTTGTTCTCACCTCTCTCTTTGTCGGTGAAGCTGTTAGCAGGAGCCCCAGCTGTGGAGCCTCACCTCACCTAAGCCCGACAGATTTAGTAACCAGCGCAGTAATTATCAGCATTAGCCATCCAGATGTGAATAGGCTTTCTGTACAAAACAGCTCTATAATGAGCTCACACTTTCTGGCAGCTAGCCAAGTAAGGGCGCATCAGACCAGAGGTGCTGGGGAAGGACAGAGAAATGCAGGAAATGACGGAGACAGTCTCTCCAGGAAGTTCTTTAGGGAATGCAATTTGGTTTCTGCACTTGAACTTGTAAGGGTTCAGTCGGTAGGCCAGGCCTTTCTGGTCCTGTAATTTCTAATTCCTCTAATGTCCTCCATGTCCATTCACTCAGTTCATGTCTGTGCCCTGCCTGTATCATTGTAGACATCTTGCCCTCACAAATTTCCCAGACATATCTTGCTTTCTCGGGGCACATGCACATTTATGGACTGAATTGTGTCCCCTCCAAATGCATATGTTGAAGACTTAACTTCCAATGTGACTATGTTTGGAGATAGGGCCTCTAAAGAGATAGTTACGGTTAAATGAGGTCAAAAGTGTGGGACCCTAATCCTTAGGATTGGTGACCTTATAAGAAAAGAAAGGGACACTGGAGATCTTCCCCTCTCTCTGGGCACACACAGAAGAAAGGTCATTTTAGGACACAGACAAAGGTGGCCGTTTGCAAGCTAAGGAGAGAGGCCTCCAAAGAAACAAAAACCTGCCGGCACCTCGATCTGGGACTTCCAGCCTCCTACTGTGAGAAAATAAAATTCATTTGTTTAAGCCACCTGATCTGTGGTATTTTTTTATGGCAGCCCGAGCAGACTAACACACATATGTTTTCAACACGCTCCTTACCCCCATCCAGCTTGTTCAGTCTCCTCCCAACACGCTGACTCTCTCCGTACTGTCCCCCCACAAACCTTGTCCATTCTTACCTGGGACACTTGCCTAAAATGTTTTCTCATCTTTTGGCACCCAACTAAGTCTCACTTCTCACAGCATCTTCCAAAACTGCTCTGGCCTGCATTGGAGCTTTGCCTTTTCAGCCCTCCTGCAGGTCTGCAACATCTTAGCACTCTATTATACATATTGTCCTGCGTTCTCTCTAATTGTTTCTTATGCAGAAAAACTTGGCCTTCCTCTCAGAATAGAAGCCCCTTTAAGTCCAGAGTTTGTACCTTGTACTTGACTACCTCATAGAACCCAGCGTGAAACTGGGCACAGAATGAACACAGGGTTTGCTGATTAATTTATTCCAATTAAAGGTATTTATGTTTAAAAAAAAATACTAGAAAAGTTTCATAGCACTTCATTTTCTAAAAGCTCAAGACATTTGGGTGTGTCATTTCAGTCATCTCGAAAGCCCATTGGAGCAGAGGCTTTTGGGAACCAACTCTCTCCTCTGGTTCAGGATCAGAGGGTTACACAAGCTACTCAGAGTCACACAAACTCAACCCTTCTTTCTCCAAATCAGAAGATTTGCTATCCTTGGCTTCCTTGTGACCCTCACTGATCCACCTGGCTGTCTTCGCACTCTCCAGATAGAGAGGAAAGGCTAGGGAATCTCAGCTCTTAGAGGTGCTTCTGTTTCAACAAATCTTACCTGAGGCCCTTGAAGCCAGAGGTGCTTTAGAATTCAGAAAGGTACCAAACGCACTGAACATGCCCTGTGAGATCATGGGCAGCATCTTTTAATCAGCCACATTATTTCTGCAGTAAAACATAAAACATTTAGTGTGAATGTTCACACTAAATGGGTATGAGGATAAAATGGCTTCACTTCAATTTGTCTGGTTTTGTCACCAGATGAGTTCTGGCATCAAACTTGTAAAAAACCAAAAAAACCCCAAAATCCATGCCTTGATTTTCAGAGATTTGGAAATTTGGAATTGCAGGTAGGGGGTTATGGAATGATATTTTAGGCTCGGTTGTCCCAAAAGAAATGAATGTTTTGTGAGGGTGTGGAAAAGCAGCACTCATCGCAAAAGAGGAACCATAAACTGGGAAAGAAGTGAGGGGTTTAAGAGAGTGTGAGGAAATAACCCCTTCTCAAACCAAGCTGTACTGGGTTGTAGTTCCTTTTTTCTAAGGAGTACATATTTATCAGCGGCTGGTGAGTTTTCAGATGGACTTGTGTTAACAGTGGCATATAAGTGGCATATAAGTACAGAATGCACTTTTGAGGGGAGGCAAGTAGGGGTGAAGATGACAGAAGCTCTTGAAGAGAAGCCACAAACCATGGTGGACTTCCAGATGGCCAGAGAGTTAGTTCCGAACAGCTTAAAACAGGAGCACAGGCTACAGGCAAGCTTCTCCAGGTGCAGAGGGCAGACCTGGGAAAGGGAGACTAGATAAAGGGGGACATTATGAAATCCTAGAGAAGTCTGGTGAGAAAAGTCAGAGCCCCTTAGGGCTGGGAGGAGCCTGGGGGTGATGATGAAGGTAGATGACTGATCATCATGTTAGTATGTACCCAGGCAGCCTGGGCGCTTTGAGGTTTTGCTCCACTGTAGTGCAGTGGCTTTGCAGTCTGAGTGGTTGGCTGAGAGCATAATGCAGAGAGGAGGACAGTAAAAGGGAAGGCCATGGTGGACCTGGGACTGCACAGCTCTCTATGCCGGCTTGAGATGCTCAGCCAGTCATACCCTTCAAGGTCAGGGGCTTGCCGGAGCCCAAGGTCAACAGCAGGGAAGCTTCATCTTGAATCTTAAGGCTAGCCACGTTGCTGACCTTCGTCCTGCTTTGCCTTTGTTCCCAGGTCCTAGTATCTGCTCTTTTTTCTTCTGACAGAACTCTGTCTGGTACCCCCAGATAGAATAATGGGTTTCTCCTTCATTCTCCCAAACTGGTACCCTATCCTATGACCCAGATGCTCAGGGACTAGGATTCCAGGGTCCAGATACTCTACTTCCCTCCCT